TTTTTTGAAAATTCTTTTAATTTGTTTATCAGAAACTGACCTAGCTTCAGCATCAAATTTGATGGACTATTTTGCTGAGTATATGATTCTTGGTTGGCAATTTTTTTCTTTTATCTTGTTTGAAGCTCATTTAACATCTTGTTTTTCATGATGTTAGGGAAATTTTCTTTCCGTAATTTTTGGACTTTTTTTTTTCTATTTCCCTGAGATGGCCCAAGTTTTTACAATCACAATTAACCAAGTCACTCACAACTGAACCATATAATCCTATCAGAAGCTTCCCCTGCCTTCTCTTATCCAGACCCATCAGGAAAAAATTGTTTGGTGGGAGTTTTACAAAGAAAGACATATTAACTAATTCCCTATACTTCCATGGATATTAAGAAATTGTGACTAACTTTGTAAAGAATGGACATTCCAGAACACTTCATTTTGCCCCTGCAGAACCTGTTCATAGACCAAGAGGCAGTCCTTCGACTAGAACCAGGAAAAGTGTGTGCCCAGATTGTATCCTTTTACCATTTAGTCTGTATGCTGAGCAGTAGTTTGAGAAGCCAGACTATACAATGAAGAACATAATACGAGGATTGGAAGAAGACACATTAACAACCTGTGATAGGCAGATGATATACCTTGCTTGTGAAAGTGAAGAAGACTTGCAGCACTTATTGATGAAGATCAAAGATACAGCCTTCAGTATGGATTATACGTCAACATAAAGAAACCAGAATCCTCACAACTGGACCAATAAGCAACCTCATGATAAACACACACTATAAAAATTCTTAAGGATTTCATTTTACTTGGAGCCAGAATCAAAGTTTGGAAGTAGGAGTCAAGAAATCCAATGGTGTATTGGGCATATCTGCTGCAAAAGACATTTTTTTAAAGTGCTAGAAGCCAAAAAGATGTCACTTTGAGAATTGAGGTACGCTCAGTCCAAGCCATGGCATTTTCAATTACCTCATATGCATGCAAAAACTGGCCATGAATAAGAAAGTCTGAAGAATTGATGCCTTTGAATTGTGGTGTTTGTTGGCAAAGAATATTGAATATACCATGGATGGCCAAAAAATAAATCTGTCTCGGAAGAAGTACAGCCAGGATACTCCCTAGACACAAGGAAGGATGGATTTTGGACAAGTTACCAGAAGGGACTAGTTTCTGGAGAAGGACACTATGCTTTATGTAGCAAAACAAAACAACAGGAAACCCTCAAGGAGATGCATTGACACTGTGACTGCAACAGTGGTCTCAAACAGAGCGACGCTTGTCAGGATGACACAGGACAGGGCAGTCTTTCTTTCTGTCACACACAGGGCTGCTTATAGTCAGAATTGACTTGACCCTTAACAACAACAACAACAGTTGAAGACAGGAAGTAGAATTTTAGAAGTGGTTGCAGAGATTGTGATTTCAACACAATTGATTTCTGCATTATCATATTGACTGTGTTCGTGTCCTAGGGTTTGATTGAAGTTCTTATTTCTTGATTTGGAATTAAAAATTTTTTAAGGCTTAGTCTGATGAATACTGCTCAAATGTATTGATGTAAACCTTTGCAAGTAACTTGGAATGGATCTGAACTTTTAATCATATCCACCTGGGACAAACTAATTGCTGATTGATAATGAAAAGGTAATGATTTTGAGTGCAAAGAATGATGATGTAAATTTAGGGACTTGAACCTGATTTTACAAACAAAATAACGGACAGAAGGAAGAACCTAATATTATATTCTTAGTACTATTGCTGTCATTGCTAGCTTTAGGAGACTGAAGTATTTTTTCATTTACAAGGATATTTACTTAGAACGCCTAAAACAAATACAGCAATGTGAAATCTTTTTGTTTGTACATTTGAGGTCCAAAGTACCAGCTGCCTTTGTTTTAAAGGGTTGTATGCCAGTTGTTATCCAGTGGTGTCAGTGTAATTGAGCTTCTCTAGAGAGATACTAGTGGAGCTCAATTACTGGTAACCAGAGTCCTGGTGGGGCGCTGTGGGCTAATGCGCCA